TCTTCATATTTCGGCTCACGTGTTCGAACCTATCGCACATTCTGCCTCTTCCGTCAGCCATTGCGAGATATTGGGCAGTGATCAACGTGCAAAATCACGACGAAAAATGTTTCTTGTGGGCGTTGGCTTCGGCTATTTTTCACAAACGCCAGAACACACACCAAAATTTTACATTTCAATCGTACGAGTACGTACGAAGCCTTTTCGGAGAATTAGAAAACTGTCTCGATTTGAGTGGCATTTCCTGGCCCCTGCCCGTTCACGAGATAAAACGTCAAAGTTCTAGGTTTTCATTTTAGAGTTTGATTCGGCCAACAAATCTTGGAAAATCGTTGGTTCTGTGCACTTTTCGGAAACAAAGTATGAGAACCCTTTCAATTTCTTATTGATTCACAGGGATGGCGGAAGGTCTCATTACGTTTGGATTAAGAATTTAGGCAGACTGGTTCAATCTCAACATTTGGCTCATAAGGGTAGGATTTTTGTTTGCGACAGATGTTTGAACGTGTTTTATTCGCAAACGCATCTCGAGGCTCACGAAGTCTATTGTAGATCCGTGGGGTCCCCCGCACGTTTGATCCTTCCGTCCGCGACGAACGACGAGGAGCGCTTCACGTAATTTCGACATGTCGAAAGACAGCAACTATGCCCGATTGCGGTTTACGTTGATTTTGAAGCGCTCACGCTGTCTGTGTCTTCCTGTGAGCGGATCCTACCTTCAGCCGTACCAAATTCACGAAAGCTTTTCGGCGGTGCTTCAAGTGGTATGCTCGTTTGACGAGTCGCAGAATCAGCTGGTCATCATTTACGGTCCCGACATTGCGTTGCCTTTTGTTACCTTTTCTAGAAGGTTCCGCGAAAGATTATGAATTATTATCTTTTGAATCATCCTTCTCCCCTCGTGATGCAGGACGAGGACGAAGTGTTTTTTCAAAATTCCGAAGTATGCCACATTTGCAAAGTACCTTTTCTTCCAAATTCCGTCCGCGTCAGAAACCATGATCATTTTTCTGGTGTCTTTCGCGGCGCGGCTCATCAATCGTGTAACGTCCACTTTCCAGCGCCGAAACTCATGCCCGTCGTAATGCACAACGGGAGTGGTTACGATTGGCATTTTCTCCTTCAGGCCTGGGGCGAAAAGAACTATGAACAGCGACGGGCTGCGGGTGGTTCCACACAATCACGAGAGATTCGTGGCGATTTCCCAAAAATCGGGTAAGTGGATCTACGATTTTTAGACTCTTTGAAATTTTTAGGCGCATCGCTCGTTTCTTCAGTCGAGTCGATCACTCGATTCGACCGATTCACTCGTGCAGCTTTTCCCGACGATCGTCTTTCCGATTTTGCCAGAAGGAACGGGGAGTTTCCCTACGATTATGTCAACTACGTTTCCAAATTGCGCGAAACGTGGTTACCGCCGCGCGAGGTTCTTTTTCAGTCCCCTCATGGACACACACGTTTCGGGCTCGGAGTACGCGAACGCGCAGGCGTTGTGGAACGCGTTCTACGTTCAAAATTTGGGCGAGTACGCCGATTTGTACTTGAAAATCAACGTCTGTTTGAAACCGGCATTTTGGAAAAATTTCGAGATTTGTGTTTGGATGTGTAGGGGCTCGATCCTTAGTTTTACTACACCGTTCCCGGGCTTTCGTGGGACGCCATGTTGAAAACCACCGGCGTTCGACTAGAGCTACTCACGGACATCGACCTGGTTCTCTTATTCGAACAGGGCATCCGGTGGGGACTCGTGGTAGTGATTGGCCGTCACGCCGAGGCCAATCACCCCCTTGTGGGTGATCGCTTCCGGCTAAGTGATAAGGAATCTTATTTCACCACGTCGCCAGTAATTTGTACGGCTTTTCGATGTCACATCCGCTACCTGTGGGCGACTTTGGGTGGATGCCGGAAACCGACATCGAGCGGTTGAACATCGCAGAGGCGGTTGCGGAAGTCGATCGGGGATACGTTTTGAAGGTCGATGTCGACTACCCTGACGAAATACACGATCGTTTGAGCGATTTGACGTCCTGTCCGGAAACCCAGGTCCCCCGACTTGAAGAGCAGGCAAGTCACGTTGGTGGCGACGCTTGTGCCCAAGCGTCGTTACGTCGTTCACATTCGAAATTTTTCTTCAGGCCCTCGAGTAGGGAGTGCAACACACGCGTTTGCAAATTCATCGCGCTCTCTCTTTTTCGCAACGACCTTGGCTTGCCAAGTACATGGACCTGAACAACACGCGTCGACAGCGCGCGTCTTCCGATTTTGAAGATAAATTTTATAAACTGATGAATAATTCTATTTGCGGGAAATCGATGGAGGACGTGCGCAACCACTGACGCATTTATCTCGCCAACAAGTGGGAGGGGAGGTGCGGGGCCAGACGTCTCACCGCCGATCCCTCCTTCATGCGTAGTCATTACGTGAACGGCGATCTCATGACAAGCGAATTGAAAAAAACGGAGGTGAAGCTCACAAAGCCCATCTATTTGTTTTTTTTGTATTTCAAAACACAGACTGTACGATTTTTTAGAACTACTGGCAGAAAAATCTTTGTGATCTTCACCTTTACGTCGATACCGATTCATTCATTCTTTCTACTTCTACGAGTGTGTACGCTGAGATGAATCGGCATCCATCCTGGTTCGATACTTCCTCTTTCGGTCCCGAAAACGAATTTGCGGTGACACCTCGCAATAAGAAAGTATTAGGAGGACTGTTGAAGGACGAATGCGGAAGCGATCCCCCGTTTGGGTACGTAGGTTTACGTCCAAAAATGTACTCCATCGAAACCCGATCTCGCGTGTGTTCTTTTTGGGCAAAGGGAGTGGAACGTTCACTCGTAAATCGTTATAAATTTCAAAATTATTTGGACTGTTTATTTTGGAACGAAAAAAGAATCTACAAGCAATGTGTCATTCAATCCAAATCTCACATCAATTATTCGTTTGTCCAAAACAAGCATTTGTTGTCCGTTTCCGACGACAAAATCTATTGGTTCGATAAATTTCGTCCGTCCATTTCTTCTTCTTCTTCGGCGTGCACGCTCATCCCTGCAGGCGGAGTTCATGTAGATTAGAATTAATTTTTATTTTCATTACTTTTTGAAAACATTTTCCCTTTTTATTTATTTTATAGTTAGACACTCTTAGTAGTAGGGAGTTTTTTATGGTGAGTCACTTTTCAAATAGTAGTAGAGAGAGCGTTTGCAATCACTTTGAAAGCGGGAGGGTGAGGTCTCGACACGTCATTCGTCCATCGACCATCGTCATAGAACGACCTCGAGTAGAATAAGAAGAAGCGTATGATGGATGGAAGAAGCGGACTGGGTCAGCCTCCGCGACGTAGCCGCCGATCTCGTCATCATCGCCCACAATAGCAGTCTTCAGCGCACATACTACGTTGAAGCCTATCGCTCGATCGTCAACGTCGCCGTTGATGTGATGTGTGCCGCCCGACGCTGTTACGAGGAAGAAAAAGAAGAAGAAGAAAGGTCCAACAGATGCTGGGAACGAAGAAGAAAAGGAAAAAGCTCTTCACGATCTCGCGGTTGCATGTCATGGCAAAGTGCTATGGATCATGATGGTTCTCGGCGAAGTGTCCTCCTGTCCGTGCTGCGAGCGTCTCTTTCCTCACGGGGGACCCCCTCCCTTTGTCATCGACGGTCATAAGCAATCACCACCACCGCCGCCGCTCCACCACAGTTCATACTGGGCGGAAGCCGGTAAAAAGAGACCTCCTGAACCGGAAGAATTTATTCTCACGGTGGACGCTGAAGTGTTAGCAGTCGTCGAAGCTCTCGGACACCTCGTTCAAGAACCGTACGGTGAAGCACTGCGAGTCGCTCGCGTTCGTCAAGTCATCCAGTCTCTTCGTCCACCGTTCGAAAATAGTCCTCCGCCCTACTCTCCATCTCCAGCTGACGAAAGACCATCTACGTCAGTGTAATCTCAAGTTGGATCTTTTCATACAACGTTTCATCAACGACCGTTGTTCTCTTCTCGGACTCGACGATCGCTCTCTGCAGCTTCTATCCATCGACTGGCTAATACACTGGGCCGCGAAGGACGTGCCTTCTGTCTTCTACCGCCTGTCGAAAGACGTGCAGTGGGGCCGAGACATTCGTCGACCCCTGCCTTGTCTTCGACATTACAGCAACAACGGGCGCACGCACATCGACGGCAAACCGCCGTTGTCGAAGTGGAAGTGTTTGCAGTGTAGGCGAGAAGAAGTACTGCCTTGTTTCGAACACGCGCACATCGAGTCGCCGCCGCCGCCGATGTGGAAGTGCGTCGAGTGTCACAGAGAGGACCTTTTTAGTAAAGAAAAAATTAACACTATTCGTTATGGCCGCGGGTATGCGCATCGAGAAATATTGTAAGATGCTTTCGCGTAGGTAAGATGCTCCCACCTGGCCGTCCATGCCAGAAACACCGCCATTGTGCTACGCTGCCTGCAAGAATGTGGTGGTGGTGATGCAAACATTGTTGACGTTCGTGATCGAGGAGGACTGATGCGGATGGAACACGCGGTACACTTCCAGCAATATTCGATCGGTAGACTGCTCCTCCAACACGGTGCTGACGGAGAGAAAGACTCTCCGGGGCTTACTCTTAGGGAACACGACGAAGGATGCCGAGCCATTGCAGATTCTAATACAAATCAGTGTCTTTTTTATGCTTTTATCACTTTTTGTTGTCAATTTACCTAGAAGATTAAGAGTTTTATCATTAATATTTATATTTATGAGGCCATTTACATAAATTTAATTTTTTTTAAATTTTGCCATTTGATAGTTACTAAGATACATTCTTTGACGTCATTAATTACATTAATGCAATTCATTATTATCATTATTATTATTATTATTATTATTATCATTATTAACATCCTTTTTGTTTCGTATTTGTTACCATACCTTCTTCCAATTAATATTTTTATAATGTTCATCATAAAATCATAATTTGGAGAGTAAAGAACATTCTAAATTATGATATTACTGTTTACACAACTTTGCTGCGTCGAGCGGGGCAGAGTCTTACATGGGCGATCTCGGCCACGTAGACCGGGAAGACGGTAAAGATGGCGCCCATCTGGACACCGACGAGGATGCGCGACGCACACACCCACTGCACCTGCGCACGCGGAGACCATACGAGCCTCAGCACAGAACGTACATAGGCAGGCACAGAACATACACAGGGAAATGAAAGAACAAACCCACATATACACTGTTTAGTTGTTTTCGACATACTGTTCTGTTATATCGAATTTACACAACATGAATGTCAGGTGCAGAACGTGCACAGAAAAATGAAAGATAGCAAGCTCACATATCCTTTTACGTCCTGATGGGACGCATATTCGACCATACGCTAGACACCAACATACTTGCGGGTATCTCAATTTGGGCTTCAATTTAAAAGAACAGGAGGGCGGTGGTGCAATTTTGGTTTCAGATATGAATTCAGCGCGTCAACATAGAAAAAACATGCGTCAAGTCTTTGGGGTCTGACAAATTTTTGTGTGTGAGCCTGTATAATTGATGACCGCTGATGAGCGACGTGAGCCCAGTAAAGATCACGCGTGAACTCACGGAGGAGCGCTCGCAGAGCAGCAGCAGCCAGGCCAGCGCGCCGACCAGCCCGCAGGCGAGCAGCGCGAAGCGGCGGCCCAGGCGGTCGGCGCCTCGTCCGAAGGCCCAGGCAGCCAGCGCCGAGCCCACCGGCATCTGCAACCACAGCACGCTCAACTCGTTCCTGACCCCCCCCCCCCAACCGCGCTCAACCGCACCCGGCGAGTGCGCACGAGATATCCGTGCTCCAGACGTCTCCGTTAACGTACCAACAAGACACTCGAGAAGGGAGAAAGAAAGGAGACATTACGTGTACCATTGGGCTAACAAACACTTGGTGAACAGTGATAGGATGCATATAGTTATCTACGCGTACTGGCCAGGAAACGTTTGGGTAGTCCAACGCGTTCGTAGTTGGATTCATTGGTTTTCTGTCGAGTGTTTTAGAAAAAGATATTACCGTTCTGAACTCTTTATACTTCCGACCCAGTTGCGGCTCGTTGATTGTCTAGTCGAAATACTTTGCAAACGAGGGGATTGCTCATGACAATCTGCTTGTCTAAACTTGGTGAATTTTTCGTGGTTTCTAATTTATTTTGGATATTTTGTGGCACAGCTTTGTTCTTCAATTACTGTCTTTACAATACACGGACCATGAGTGATTTTACTTATAAGTTTATATCTAAATTGTTTTCCTCATGTCTCGTGCTTCTTTACATTTGCTTTCCTATACGAAATGTAAATTTCATTTTTTGTACCAAGTCTGTCTGTGGAAAACTTAGAAATTCGATACTTTTGATACGGCGTTCAGCGTTGCCGTTCCCTTTCTCTGTGACATCAGTAGAATATACAGATTCCGCGCGCGAACTCGCAGATTCCGCGCCTGTCACAGCGTGATTTGTTTATCCGATATTTTTACTATGCCCTCTACTGGCCAAACATAAGCTGCTAAATATCGTGTTGTAGGAAGAGGCGTGCACTGAAGGCGCGTGTTTCATTGATATAATTAATATGGACAATTCTGTACCACTGTTAGAGGTAATTTCATTCGTGGAATAGACATATTGAATACCACTCGTGCATTGCAAAGTGAATAACAGCATTTGTACATTTTTAAATTACTCGCGGTATTACATAGGAGTATAATAAATCAATATAATCTAAATATTAATCGAGTTTGGACTGTTTATCGCATTACTTACACATCGATATACCCCCTCCAATGAACGAAAACACTCTATGAAGAAAGGAGGTACTGGGTCCCATAATGAGTTTCCAGTTCATCGGGAATTCCGGAATCTGGATCAGGCATGTGTTCACACGTACATTCAATGCGAAGGACCAAGCGTCCCTTTCGAGCGTTTAGACGTACCCCCAAGTCACTCAAAAGATAAAACAGCAATTGTGAAAAACTACTAGAAATTTATAAACAAAAGCTATATTCAACGATATGTACCTGGCATGGCTTTGGTGAAAGACACTTAATATTAATTACTTATCTCAAAATTATAACGCCAAACGTCATAAGCTCTTAATTGAAAAGTTATTATCTACATTCATTGTAGAAACGAGATGCGTATTTAAACGTTGAAATTGCGCATTTAGGAATGGATTAAACTTTTCAGCGTTTTTAAATTTCAGCGGTTGAAATTTGAGGATAAAGCGTTTGTATAAAAAGGAATTTGACGACGATATTAAATAATGTGAAACATAGAACTAGATTATTGCCGTTACTATCTGATTATTGTATTGTCTACCACGAGAATTTAATGCTCCGGCCCGTCTATGACTTTGATAATACATGAATCCCCTACTGGCTCTGCCTTTGAGCACTACAATTTGACAATCTTCTTGGTTTTCTTTTCGCAATGTGAAGAGCATGTTTATTTTGTCGGCATTTAAGTATTTAAAAATTACTTTCCAACACTATATCAAATACTTCGTTAATTTATTCTAAGAACGTATAAGACGTCATTGTATATACTTTTATATTCAATTAAATGCATAAATTATTGATTTCTACACTATAGATTAAATAATTGTTCCAGCCAATGTCAACTTTTTTAAATAAAATTTCGTTGTATTGAAAACACCCACAAGTTTCATGCTCAAAACTCTCGTGCGTATCATCAATTAACATTGCATAGAACTATTCCATTCTGAAGCGAAATGTACTCACCATTGCGTGCAGGAGAGTGGGGTGAAAGGACCAGAAACCGTCAAGCGCGCCAGCGTGGGTGGTGCTGCCCTTGGAGGTGCCGGTGGCGCCGCCCATGTTGAAGAAGGGGCGGTTGCCAGTATGGCCGTGCAAGGCAGGGTCAGCAGGACCATTGAAGACATGGCCATTGTCACCACGGGTGGTCGAGGCAGGTCTGTTGTCCCCATAGTCTTTCACGGAGGGACTACTTTCGGCAGAGTCGTTATCCTCACGGTCAATCAAGTAAAGATCATTTACGTCAGAACTTTTGTCACCACGGTCGTCCAAGGAAGGACTGCTTAAGACAGAACCATTGTCATCACAGTCGTCCAAGGAAGGCCTATTTAAGGTAGCACATTTGACACCTCGGTCGTCAAAATAATGATCATTTAAGGCAGAATCATTGTTGCTAAGATTGTTCAAGGGAAGATCATTCTCATCACGATAGTTTGAGACCGATCCGTTCTCACCAATGTCATATAAGGCAGGACCGTTGTCGTGTAAGATAGTATACATGACAGAACCGTTATCACGTTCAGACAAGAGAGAAGCATTCAAGGAAAAATCTTTGCCGACATGGTAGTTAAAGGCAGAACTGTTGTAGGCACCGTCATTCAAGGCAAAATGTTTATAGGTACGATTGTCTAAGACAGTGCCGTTTAGGGCACAACCGTTCTTCGCACGGTCGTCTAAGGCAGAACCGTTCTTGGCACGGTCATCTAAGGCAGAACCGTTCTCGGCTCGGCCGTTTAAAGCAGTACCGTTCTTGACAGGGTAGTTCAAGGCCCATTCGGCGTAAGTATGTCGGTTTAAGCCTTTCTTGTTCAAAGGATAACTGATGGAGTCAGTTCCGTTGGAGAGTTCTTCGTAAAGAGCAGGTACATTAAACGCACTGTCACTGAAGGAAGGATCATTGAACACTGAGTCTTCGACGGGAATGTTGTTGCTAGAGTCGTTCAAAGCAAGTTTGTCGAAGGTAGGACTATCAAAAACATGACCATTGAAGGCAGAACTGTTGAGAGTGAGACCATCCAAAGCAATATCTTCGAAACTACGATGAATGTACTGGAAGACATTTTCAGTAGAGCGATTGAAGGCAGCGCCATTGTAGCTAGAATAATTCTTGCTAGAGATGTTAACGACAGAACCGTGGAAGTCATTGGCATTGTTAGGACCGTTGGAAGCAGCGTTGACATGTCCGCTGCGACCAGAGGGGGTAGGTTGTAGATCCAGTGCCCTCAGAGCGTGCAGAGACCAGCCGTCCAGGTACGATGCGAAGATAGCGCCGCAAGCAGCTGTGGGGAACGAAATCACATGGATGAGGATGTTCCTACGCGCACATACTCGAGAGCCTCTCGCGTTTTCCTCCCCTACTTCCCCATTCTTACACTCTGCTACTTCGGACAAAAGCTTATACGGTTTCTTATAAACGGTTGAAATATTTTTTGGATAAAACACGACTAAAAAGATAAAAGTAGTCACTGAACATGTTTACTCCATTCATAGAAATAATTATTAAACTGGAAATAAAAACAAATATCTGTAATTGTTATTAGTTTCTTAAAGAGAAGGGTTATTTAATTTTTACCTTAATACTGTTTTGTACGAAACAACCAATTATATGCAAATTTCTTGGAGTTTCTTGGACTTTGATTTTCAGAGAAATTTAATTGCTATTCTCATATTTGAAAACTTTTTCGTTGTTCTCGCTCCTGCTGTTAGAAAAAAAGAATCAATAGTTACGGTACTGCATAAATATCTGACATGGAATCACGGATTTACGTTTCTTATCGGCACTAATCAGCGTACTTTTTAAGAACTCGGAGCCCAATAAAACATTTTCAAAACGTAATTCATCCAAGCCCTTAAAAGTTTTAACTATGTACTCGAAGTTTTTCATTGTAAATAAATAAATAAATACTAAATACTGAGCAAAGAAACTCAGTGCATATCGCTCTGGATTCACAATCGGAAGGACCGGATTCGATCCCTGGGCCGGCCATCGTAACCGGGGAATTCGTGATTTCCTTTGGTCACAAGGCGAATGCTGGAATGCTTCCAAAATCCATAGTCCCTTTCAGCCCTCATCAGCCTATAATAATAATAATTATTATTATTATAACAACAACACTCTATCCCCCTAATTGGTATTAAAGGTTACAATCATGTTCCGTTTGGAACGAAGGGGTACGAGACTAAATGTCCTCGCAATGTAACCGGGTTCCACGCCACGCAGGGGGGCGGAGAGCTTACCCAGAATGGCGGCAACGTGGCTCTACCAGGGACTCTATCGTTATTGTAGTACAATTATGATCCGTTCCGAAATAAGGGATCGACCACAATACCCTCGCGATGTAAAGGTTCCACTCCACACAAGGGGTAGAGCACTCACCCAGAACGGCGGCGTCGTGGCTCCGCCAGGGGCACTATAGTTATTCTAGTACAATTATGTTCCGTTTCGGAGGAAGGGGTACGACCCAATGCCCTCGTGATGTGACCGGGTTCCACGCCACGCAGGGGGCGGGGAACTCACCCAGAATGAGTGGCTCCGCCAGAGACACTAGAGTAATTATAGTACAATTATGTTGTGTTTGGAACGAAGGGGTGCGACCCAATGCCCTGACGATGTGAGCGGGTTTGAAGCCACGCAGGGGGCGGGCACTCACCCAGAATGACGGCGATGTGGCTTCTCCAGGAGCTGCAGCGGCCGCCGGCACGAGGGGCTCCGCGGGGTCCGCCGCGGGCGTAGGTTCTGAAGTTCGCGTAGCCCCGGAAAGCCTCGTCCGGGGGAGCCGACATGGCGGCCAGACTCTGAGCTGCGGCGCGGGCGCCTTCGTCTACACACGCAAAAAAAGGACACTCAACCTCAGTCGTATGCACAATCGATTTGAGGTTCCGGACGCGTCAACTGCTAGGGTCATTCGTCCCGTAAGTGTAGTTCATGTTTTTGTCGCGGGAGGTTGCGGTTTTCTTTCCCTGATTCGTAGCAGATCCGACTCCGACCCATGTTGGCATTTTTTCGCCAACCTGGTTTATCTCACCAGCGCGGGACTGCTCCATCCGAGACAAGGTCTAAGCGCTCGACTAGTCTCCTGACACGTGTGGAAGTGTGGTGCAAATGAAAAATTATCATAAGAAACATAAAACTCGATATAAAGTAACATGAACGCTTCCCATTATAAACAACAAAAGTTCACCCAAAAGTAAAGTTAAAAATATGTTCAGAAGAGCCTGCAAACGCACGTCTAGATTAGTAGTTACAAAAAGAGCATTTGCACCGAATGTAAACAACCGGTTGGGATGGTTGCGTGGTAGCAGGAGAAAGGAGGGGGGGGGGCAAAATACTGTTACATGAAACAAAATATAAACAGATAAATTATTCATGGGTTCCCAAAATGTATTAGAAGAAATTTGTACATTTAAATAACAACTTTCACTTAATTAAAAAGACTGGAAAAATATAACTGTAGAAAGTAACCATTCAAAGAATTATTCACCTAGAAATTTCCATAATACGGAGTCATAAAGACACGTGAAAGCATTTGATACACTTAAACATTAATTTACTGACATGAGGCGTTGTCAGCATAGCAGGAGAAAACTATGACTTTGAATTTATTTAAGAAAAATATTTTCGCACATCTGCGAATTTTGCCTCCTCCTCATGACGTCACAGTTTAATTCGGCGCTTGACATTCTACGCAATTCTTGCAATTCTACGCTAGCCATTTGAAATAGTGGGGAATGGGCTATTTGGGGACTAGATATCCATTCATCGTCCAGAGAATAGATCATTAGTCCCGTTTAGTGCATGTTTCTATCGCGAGGGGTGGCGGTGATCTTCCCACGTTGTATGTCGATACCCGTTGCCGATGCGTCAGCGTGTGTGGTTTTCCCCAACCAGGTACCGTCATGTGCCGAGGCACCGCCCCCTCCGGGAAGAGCTCTAAGCTCCCGACTGGTGGAAGTTTTAATTTTGTGGCTGAAAGTTTTACACTCTTTAGTATATGGTTCAATGCTGCATGACCACGCCAATTCTCTTCTCTTACTCTGTACTTAAATACTCCGTGAATGAATAGAGAGTAATTAATTAGTAAAAGCAGCGTTTCTCACAGTCTAATATGCTTTGCTTTTGTAATGGATCTGGCAAGACAAGCTTTTACCAACATACGACTTAATAGAAGATATAAAACGTAAACATGTAATTTTACCTTTGAAACTAAATGCACGGAATTTACTTTTTTATTTATTTATAATAAAACAGTAAAAATACTGTGTAATGTACTATAATATCTGCATAAAAAGTAGAATTATGAATACAGGTAGCAACAAATATTTTGGCAAGAATTGGTGAGAAACTATTCGTTCCCGAACAAAAACTATTTGCAAAGGCCAATACGTTACAATTTTTTTCTGTTATTCGTAGCTCTTTACGTGAGGAATCAACTTACTTTCCCCAAAAATGAAGAACTTGAATGGAGAACTTGGGAAACTTGAAAAGAAGAATTTGTATAACTACATTTACTAAAGAACTTAGAAATACGTGTACAGATTGTGAACCTACATTTATATTCAGAAGCAAAGAAGGGTCCACCTCTGCATTTGCCCAAGGGATCAAAGAAATTGGAAGAAAAATCTGATCAAAATCGGAGTTATTCCCCCAGAAGGTGTGAGGTAGGATACTTCAGTCATATTACAATCATAATTACTATTTAGAGTTACTGAATGATAGCAAATACTTAATCATTGTTAAAATAAATATTATTTTTCTTTCATGTGCTCAGTATAGTATTGTGGCGTCTTATCAGTTGCCTTGTACAAACGTGACAAAATATTGGCCACGTGCATTTCATGCTCATGAAATGCACGAGGAAGTATTTGCGACAGCGCTTGCGGGAAGGGACGCCGAGCTGAACAACGGCAAACCTAGGGAGCGGAAGGGAAGGGGTGCCGTGTCATGGGTGGCCACTTGTGATCCCCGTAGACCACTTGGGGCAAACTTGTGAACCCCGTAGACATGCTGGCTGTGGAAACGCGTCGGCGGAAACAGCGAGATGACGCAGTTCCGTCAGCCGGCCCAGAAGGTAATATAAACGGACCCCGGACCTAAACTCCTGCTTCTGATTCTTGGGCGCGTCGGTAGGAAGTCGTGTGGGTTGTGCGCGGCGCTGCATTTCAATGCATAGGCTACTGAGGCAGGGAACAGAAGCCGGTGTGCTACGTCGAGACGGGAGGTGCGGCATACTCGCTATTATGCTCACGTAGGCAACTGGTGCATCACACCGAATAAGATATCAAATTATCAGGCCAGCGGTGGTGGTGACCAGGAACATTCCTTCTGGTGATGGGTCAATATTGTTTATTGTAATTATTGTAAATAGTATTCAGGTGTTGGAGCATAGTTCAAATAAATACTCAATAAATTACAAACCGTTCACGTCTGTGATTTATTGTCCCGGCAAAGACGCCACAGTATCAAATGGTATAAAAACAGATATGAAGCCCATAACATTTTTGTTAGAACGTATACTTGTGTATCGATTTAATTGTTATATGTCATCTGGAAATGTGTTGTAAAGTAATGTCCATGTATTGTATGATTATTGTTTATCGTAAGCTATTGATTCTGACACATGAATATATTTATTTCGTTGAAAATTGTTCCCACCCTTAAATAATATTTTTACAAAAATTACTGATTCGTAAAAAAGAGGCAATGCAATGGTAAAATTCCTAGCTTAAAAAAGAGTCACGAATCACGTGGAGAGGATTTGCTTATTATTAGTACAATTCTTTTCTGTAATCTAAAAGTCTGCAAGCTATGATGTGTGTTTCTCCAGAATACTTTTCCATATCTCAGACGGGAAAGAATGTTCGCGAAATATATACAACAAGCGACATGAAGGCTCAGTGAATTGGAAAGGAATTTGAACGCAATGACTAATGAACTAAATTTTGGGTTCAATTCATTTATATGGATATTGCGTTTGTAGTTCGAATGAATTAAGAAGCACAAAAATGTTGTTACCTTAACATCAGCCAATTCTAAAATTTACTTTAAATGGACTATACAATTGTCTAGTTGGAAAGGAAAACTGCATTGAAATTGTATTCCACTCATTTAATAATAATTTATTGCGGAATCAAATTTAAACATGTGATATTGTATTAGTTTTTGTTACTTTGTTGCAAAGAATGTTCGTATCATCCACAAAGAGAACTGTTCTTAACTGTATAAAGTTATATTCTGTACAAAATATTCCATGTTTCCAATTAATTTAAACACACACAATTATGATAAAATAAAGTATTATTCTGTAGCAGTGTCTGCAATACTAATTAAAGAGTTGACATGGAAAAGTATGTTTCAAAAGTAATTTTTCAAGAAAAAGAAGAAAAAACGATTTTAGACTACCAAAATGATTACTTAAAAATATTCTGCACTCAGGGTATTATGTGTTTATAAACATCAAATAATTTAAAGCGAAGCACAAATTTTCTTGTAAAACTCGTGATATTACAGTCCATTAACTGCAGTGTATTCAATAAATCCTTTTAAAGAAAAGTCTTCCTTTGATAATTATATCTTAAGTGTCACTGTTAAAATTTTACTTATTCTTGAATGGCATGAATTTATTTTTTTCTTTTTTTAACATCATAGATTTTATATTCTTCGATGTCACTAACGGACGTAATTGCTTAATCAGTAGCAAATATGCGAATGCAACTTTGATGTGAGATGTGCTGCTTATTCTCAAGGCACAGCCATGAGCAAAATCTGGAAAATTGCATTTCTCTCTTGCTATCACCTTGAATGCAATTTGCAAGTGTGCTAACTTAACAACATTCTGAAGGTCTTTCGGTACCATACATTTTGACTCTCGTTTTCTTTTTTCTGGCACTCCAAAATCCCTATCGCAGGACAGATAGGAATGTCGGGAGACATGAAATTTTAGGTCTGTGAAATATCATAGTAACCCGTAAGGAAAATATACATTAAGGCAATCAAAACCATTTTGTTCTTGTTTTGTCCAACAAAGTTGTCAACCCAAATCTTTCGTTTAGATGTGATCTGAGAAGAGAATACCTTAAGAAGACACGAAGCAACTTCAATGCCTCCACGGCCTGCAATAATTCATGCCACATGCACACATCGAGCAGGAGCACTTGCACCCTTTTCATTGCCACCTGCGATGCAGTTACTCTTGGGTCTATCTCGTGATGTACTAATTGCGAACTAAAACCGGGGACTCTGGCACATACACTATGTGATCAAAAGTATCCTGATACGTCCAAAATGGTGTTGTTGTGTGGTCGTATTTTTCGTGTCAAGAACGTTCTTTCTTAAACTGTTGGCGATGAAATATAAATCGCTCTTTATACAAAATTGCATTTAATTCAAGCGATGTACAAGCCGTGCAGTATGATCAGGTGCTCTATAGTCTTAAAAGATGCAATCGCCATACCCGAATTGTTCTTCAACAGTGGGAAACAATTAGGTATTTAAAACAACGTGGCGTGATAATTCCACAGAAACCAACAAGGGGTGCACGCCCCCTCTATGAAAAACACAACTACACCATAACACCATTTTGAACTTTTGATTATATAGTGCCCGAATACTTTTGATCATATAGTGTACATCCTTTCCCATGTCAACTCTTCAATTGCACATTGTAATTTAATAACAATCTGTTACAATATTCTTACCAAATATGAAAGAATTAACCTGAGTAGTGCGAAAGACTTCTGATTTACTGCGACTATGCAGGTGTTATTCGTAAAACGAAGACTGACCTGAACTGTAGCTCACTAAATTTGCGGTACGCTGAAATGT